CCCCAAAACCCCAAAACCCCAAAACCCCAAAACCCCGAATAAATATAATTTTATTGAAATTCATGGAAATACGAAGAGTTGAAGAGCATATAATTATCAACAAGAGTAGGCTTATTTTTACAAAGACAGTCCAAAAGCCATCTGATTTATTTGAAACAGCTTTAATAAACTCTTCTTATCTGGCAAAATTCAAAATCTTGGTCTTTGATTTGAATTTGAAATTTCTCCTGACTTTAAAATTACTTTTAGAAAAACCGAAATATAAGATCCGTGCAAAGAGAGAAAATAGTGGAGTAAAGAATAGGGTAAAATCTTCGGTTGTATCTCCCAAGGAATCTAAAGATGATCTCACACCCAATAGAAGTATTGATTATCATTACTTTAGTGCTATCTGATGAGTTTGTGTACAATCGACCTTCATTTTCAGGACCCACAGCACACAAATGAGAGATCACCAAGGGAGAGTTTGTTAAACTCAAAGATCAACTAGACATAGTATCAGAGAAACTAAAGTATTTCTTATTCTAACTCTGTAGTGAAATCGACGTTAAAACGATTAACAGTAAAGCAAGGTAAGGAATTAACCCTCAGACATAGCCAAAATGATATGGAAAGCATCGCCATCCGTCTTAAAAGATATTTTCAAAAAGAAATGGAAAATTTAAGGGATCAGAATGTAATTTTTCACAACCAAATCAACAAGAAGGTTGAATCCCAGATGATCGAGAAGACAGATTTTTATAACGAAATAGCTGATTTTATCAGATTTGATGACATTAATGTTATTCAGGATAGAATCCATATGATAGAGCAGCAGATACAGAACAAGAGCGTTTCTATTTCAGAGTCTGGGTCTTCAGAAGAAGAATCATCAGAAGAGGAAGATGAAGAATTAGATGAAGTTGATGATTTCTTACCAAATGAAGGTCCATTAGATAACCAAGAGTACAATTTTTAGTCATTTTATAGAGCTGAAGAAGGGGAAGATCTTTCTCCAACACATAAAATCTCAAAAGAAGATGAAATTGAGCAGAAAAATGACAGTGATGCTCCATATAACAAGAGTATTGTTGCTAAAATGGTTAATATGGATAATGAGCAAAACTCAAACTCTTCTCTAGTGAAGCCAACAATAGTTAAGACTCTTAAAATTGATAAACTCATTTTAAATAATACAGAGGGAAGCTTATCAAGAAATAACTCAGCTAGAGACATTAATCCGACTAGAGAGAATAGTTCTGTGAAGAACAAATAAAAATTATGAAAATTTTAGCTCTTCTACTAAGCTTCATAAGCTAGATTGTGCTATGTATGATCACACAGGAAGCAAAGAAGGCTGCTCCAACAATTCTCCTACTTCGAATAAATTCAACAAAACTGGAAATGACTTTAATATAAAAATTGATACTGCAATTGCCAAGCCAAAGAAAGAGAAAAACTTTTCAGTTAAGAAGGTAACCATTATGGATATATTTATAGTTTTCAGCGACCAAAATGGGAACTTATATGAGCCGTGATATTTCCAATTCTAGTATTATGACAAGGTCTAAGAAAAGCACCAGATCAAAACTCAAAAATAGAATGGGCACTGGACTTTCAGCACCAGACAGATTTTACAACCAGAGAGTTTATCAAATAAGTGAGCAATTAGAAGCTAAAATCAAAGGGGTAATAAAATCCTTATTTTTAGGTTATCGAACGGCATGAGGAGCTACAAACGAAGGTAATTGACACTTTTATCTCATAGGTGGTGCTCAATGAAGAAACTCTGAATAATCATACAAATAAATTCTCAACAATAGATGTAAGTCTTTCACATCATATATTAGGGAATAATGGAAGTCCTTCAAAAGAAAATTGGATACTTCGAAACAAAAGGATTCTTACATTTTAAATAAATACTATATGGGTCCTCTTCATGACTTAGAAAGCTTAAGGAAGTAAACCAATCTTTTAAAATTTAGAAAATATATGAAAAGAATGGATGAGATAGAAGCAGACTTTAAATCCTTCGGAAGAGCTATCCAGTCATTCAAGTCTAAAATTTCTAAAAGTACATAATCCCTCTAATCTTCAGTCTCAACTGCCGCTACCATCCCTATACCTCCTACTACATCTGAGTACGTATCCACTACCTCAGACCCCCAATCCCCTCTTCCCACACCCCTATTCCACACCTCCTCATCCCACCACTCTCCTAACACATTTGCCCTTTTCTTTATGCCCACCCAAAAGAACCGCCCACTAGCCGAACAGATTTATCCGTGGTTCTAGTACAAAAATGGGGAAATATTTATATAGACCGATTGGGAGTAATGTGCAGAAAGAGAGGACCCTGACTGATACCCAGATACATCAGGGGTTTATAAAGTGAGAGAACGAGATTGATAAGGTTGTGGGCAGCTTTGAAAAGAAGACTAGACAGTGTAAGTTAGTTAGGAGTTTAAACGGATTGTAAAAATTCTTTCTTATATTTTTAGTACGAGAAGAAATAGAGAAGTTGAAAGATCCTCTTGAAAATGTATTTCAAGATCTAGTCAAGGAAAAGGAATGTATGGGAAGGCAAATGGATAGGTACCATAAGAAATACAGAGAAATTGAAGATGCAAAAGGTAGGATTTTACTTTACTAACTCCAGATGATTTCATGCACAAGACAACTGGGTTTTTGAACTATGAGATAGGAAAAGAAGATTTTAGAAATAGAAGTGATAATTTTAGATCAATTCAAGGTAGAGCTATCAAAGAACTCAGAGTTCCAAGGTTTAAAAGAAATGTTAACAGGCCAGGTTCTCTTGGAATGGTCACTGAAAATCATTCTTTGAAAAGATACGATATCCAAACAATGAAGAAATTTGTGAATAAGTATTAATTTGAAAAGATAATTTGTTCAATATCTTGATATTTTATAGGGGTTTTGGGGTTTTGGGGTTTTGGGGTTTTGGGGTTTTGGGGTTTTGGGG